GAGCTTTTCAACCCCAAGCTTGAGGATCAGAGCAGACCAGCGGCAGAGAGAAGTCCCCAGATGCAGTTGGCCCTGCGTGTCCCGTTTTGCTGCCAACAGAGCCGTGACCAGACCATGACCATGGCACTCGCTGTGCCCCCCTTCCAGCCCAGCTCCCCCCCTAACCTTCAAGGGGAGCAGTGGGGCAAGCTCAGCGCAGGCTCCCGCTTCAGCTCAGCTCTCGACCTTTTTGGTAGCCATTCTGCAAGGAGAAAGCAACACAGACCATTATTCTCACAGTTTTTTATTTGTAAAGGACATAGCATGAAAACCTGGTATTTCAATGTACTTCCAAACCTGGAAAAAAAAAACAAAAACAAAAACAAACCCATGTCAGTTTGTGATCGTTTGTGATATGTACGTTAAAGTGCTCGATTTACCAACACTTTTACTAATGTCGTCGCCTTGAAAATAATCCAGTTCTTATTCAGTTATTAACAATGTAAAGACACAATGTACTCAATGGAGACACTGGGGGTCATTTGGAGCTCCACGGGGCATGTCCATACATGTCAAGTGCAATGTAGAGTATTCCCCCCTCAGATGCACACCGCCTTGCATTGAAAGAAGGGATTTCCTCACACATGCCTTTGCACAACTAGTTTAAAAAAGATAGCGTTGACCAATGATGCCTACTTACACATGCCAGCTCAAAACAAACATGAGTAGAGTTTTCACTAAACGATACAATTTCATTATTTTCAGAGAATTATAAATACATGATTTGTACACAGTGAGGCATCTGATTCTCTGGCGCTTTCAAGTGGTATTGAACGTTAGCAAAACAGAACGATGCAAACTCAAACATTTGCAAACAGATACCGGGGCGGAAACTTTGTAAAAGCAGAGAGCTTTGGTCTTTTCCAAGATTCCCTTTCTTAACCAATGAAGGTGCTTTAACACTGAAGGAAAAACCTGTGTCAGCTTAGACGAATCCTGATGGGTTTCTCACCATTCTAGCAGATAGAATGATCTGTGTAAACCTCACAGAAAAAAAAAATACATTAAAAAAAATTCACTACAAAATCCATACTCCCAAGGTTGCCAAGTAACTAGTTTTCTATAAATCAGAGGTACTCAGCTGTGCCCCTTTCAACACAGCTTAGGGTGCTTTATTGCCTACAAGGAAATATCAGACATACATAATTTTTATTGAATCATTAATATGGTGTGAAACCTGACAAAAACAAACAAGTCAGCACCTGCTAGAAAAGCTGATGTGCAGTTGTGTTCAAGTCAAGTGCTAAAGGTTCCTCTTAATCCTGTTTGGAATGAATGAAGTCCCTATTTTGACTTTTCAAATTTCTCAGGTTTAGACTTACTCTTTTAAGATGCTTTGAGAGGTTATTGCCTTCTGTGGGTGTGATTTCTCCATCTGCACTGGACCTGCCGAGATGCCCGTGTTTTTACTTCATCCTGCTTGCACTTATTCTGTGTCATGTTTGCTGAATGCTATGGATGTTTAAGTCATACATTTATTTTGAGGAGGAGGGAAATGCATCCAGCCGGCAGCTGCTGCTGCAAAGAAATCCCGTGACTGAAGAGGTTATTATCTCAGTGAAATGAAAGTCACTCCGACTGAGCTGGGCGTGAGGAAATCGTGCACAGCAGCTATTAGATACAGAATGCCTGAATTGTAAGCAACAGAAAGCAAAATATCCTAAGCAGTCATTACCAAATAACGCTGCCGTACGGTTTCTGGTACTCGGTGTATAATTTTTTGATAAAATAAAGCCCGAGGAGCGCATTTTCGATTGCTGATGAAGGTGGGTCATGGGTCTTCTGCTAACGTTGAGCGGACCTGTGTGGCCAGCCGAAGGCCTAACGCCTCGAGGCGCCGCGTGGAGCCTGCGGGAGCTCTGGCTGCAGCTTCACGGCGCCGTTCACGCCGCGTGAGGAAGCCTGAGCCCTTCTCCCTTCCAAGGACACCAGCAAATGTCATCAGAACACGAGGACAGGAGGAAAACGAGGCAGCTAACCCTGATTTCTGCACGGTGGGCACGGCACGCCGAGGTGAAGTAGCGCCCCACGCTCCAAGGCCTTTCCGAGTGCCACGGAGAGCAAAGCGCGCGGCCGTGCACCTAGGGGGGAGACCAGCTAAGGGCCTGTGCAGGCCACAGCTGGTGGTTACAGCAGGGAGGTGCCCACCTCTGCTGAAGAACCGGCCAAGACCAAGGGAAATAAACACGTGAAAAGCAAAAAAAAAAAAAAAAAATCACATATCTAAACTAACCTCTGGGAATGGAACCAAATGAGGCTAACCCTGCCCTCAAACCCCTTCAACACCCACCTATACAAGAAAGGAAAACATAGCCTGTATTTTCTGCGTGGTATCCACAAGCTGATTTTAAAGGAATCTGCTCTTTGTTTTTAGTGCACAGGATTTCACCACTTCCCAGTTTCTCTTTAAGACCTGGATCTATACAGATGCACTGTATTTCTAACTCATGAATGGGAAAGACTGCAGAAGAGGCACCTCAGACTACCAAAAGTGGGATTTTTTTCCCCTCCTTTTACCTCATTCCTGTTTTGTAACTGAAAGAAGAAAAAAAAGAAAATAAGAAAAAAAAAAGTAGTAATGAAAGCCCCTATGCTTGCTAGGAACTCTTATTCTGCAGGATAGAGGAAGACTAGTAACCTGTCAGCATTTCGAAACCAGCTGAGATAGATCAGTAGCACAGCAGCATCGGCGTTTGTGTCTCTACAGCAGTGATTCTGCTCAAGGACAGCAAGAATTTGATGCATCTCACCAAATTCCTTAACACATATATATATGCACATATATATATAAAAGAAAAGAAAAAGTCACCCATGACACAAACTGGCGGTGGGAGGGTTGTGAGGAGGAGCCCTCAGAACGTGTAGGGGGACGAGGGACAAAGCCAGGAGCTCCTGTTGTTCCTCGACCTCCGCAGAAAACCTCCTGGGCAGTTCCAGCGTTTGAGCCTTTCCACAGAGGTGACACCAACGACCTCGCAGGAGAAAAAGAGGACAGGCCACAGCTTCCGTGCGTCGGAAACGTGGCGTCTTCGAACAAACAAACAACAGCAACAACAAAATCAACCCGCAGGGAGACCACGTACAGCAGGGCAGACAGCACACGCTTACCACGTGGCCCGGAGCGAGACGCCCACGACGGCTGCGTACGGACAGCTGCTGTACTTATCTGCAACACCTGAAAAAAGCCCTGCTGAGTTGGCGCTGTATTTACACATCAATTGGCTTCTTCCTTGCAAGCAAGCAGCAGCATCCCTTCCAGCCTCGGTACTGCCCTGCCTCCCAAGTCCTTCCCTGGGGCGTAAGCTACTCATATCCAGAATGAGAACATTCAGCTTAAGAAAATGTTCTTAGAGCAATATAATTTCTTAAAGAAGATAGCGTATTTACACACATCTAACACATGAAAATACTCTATTTTATACTAAATTTCCGTTTCAAATAAACTACAATACTGCATTTTCGCTCGTGGCGGCCTCGGAGGACAGTCCCGCTCCGGCGCCACGGGGGCTCCGAGCGCTGCGGCCGCGTCCGAGTCCCACCGCGTCGCCGGCCGCAGCTCCCGAGCGAGGAACAGCCAAGTCCTGGGCAGAGCCCTGCTAAACATCCACTCCCTTAATGAGCGATCCCTCCAGGACGATGTTGAAGTCTTGCAAGGTCTGCAGGACGCGGATGAGGGAGTTGACGGTCATGCGGTCCCGCAGCAGCGCGTTCTCCTCGTACATGCGCGTGATGGGCGGGCACTCGGCCAGCAGCGGGAGCCACTGGGGCAGCAGGTGGTCCCTGCAAGAGCCACGCGGCGGGTTAGCAGCCAGAACCCCTCTCTAAAAACATAAGGTCTCCTTTCTGTGTGAGATGCGCGGTGTTTGTGCAAAAAAAAAAAAAAGAAATAAAGAATCTTCTTGTGTAATCCTGGCTCTTAATTTTTTTAGCAAAATAGGATAGATATAACTGACCATACTGTGGCAATGAAGATGGAAACATATCAACAACAACAACAAAGGACAAATCTCGAAGAACTCAATAACAGGGAGAGTAAAACCCAGGAGAAAAAAAAAAAAAAAAGGGCAGAAAACTGTTGTCCAACTGGGTTTCAGGACACAAGTTAAAATCAGTACCTATTTCAAGACATACCACCTCCTCCCGAATATAATCACCCCCCTCCCACCCAGCCCAAGACAGAGAGCATTGAGAAAGGAAGAGTCACCTAACACAGTTTTGTCAAAATGGTTAACATCTTTCAGTGCTCCACTTTCACATGCAAAATGAGGCTTTGGAAATGCACCAGCTCTTGTGGAGGAGCTCTGCATTCCCAAAGCCTGCAATTCAAAGGCACAGTTTCAAGACAGATTTCTTACCCACGACTCTCAAGCTATAAGTTATAGGAAGTCAGAAACATTTTTAGACACTAAGCGTGTATTATTACTGTTTCTTTGCTGCAATTTTCTGTCTGCTACTCAAACTAAATAGGAACTGGATAACTGACAGGTATAAAATATCTTAAAAGAGAAAAATAAAGGCTTATAATAAAGGTGTCAAGTGTTCTTCTAGTCTAATGCAAGAGGACACATATAATGGAGAAGAAGGGTTAATTACCTGGTCCCCAGGCAAACCAGAATTTGGAATTTGCCATCCTTCCCAATGTTCCTCGGAGCTGTATTGATGGCATTCACGTAATGACAGAAGGATTTGCACGAAGATCTCTGAAGCAAAAGGCCCTCCTCGTGGTCTCCAATCTGGTCACTGGTTTCAAAATAAGCAAGAGCTTTTTCTGGGGTACGAAAGAAAATAAGAACTCAGTGAGTAAAATGTGCCTTTGAGAAGCAGCTTTATGGCAACTCAGAACTGCACAAGGGAGCCCTTAAAAAGTGCGCCTGCCAAGAGCTATTGCACAGTTTTCACACATTTTCCTCATTCTAAAAATAACAGGTAGCTGGAAAACTCCACCCCGGTTGCCCAGCGGTGGCCAGCAGACTGGCTGACGTGCAGCAGAGCTGTGTAACATCCACCAGCCACACAAGAGCATCTGTCACTGGTTTCATTGTAAGTGATACCATCAGCTGCGATTTTTCATTTTTTTCTGAATGAGAACTTGCCCTCAGGCTAAGAATCTCAACTTGTGAGCATGTTTTAAGAGAATAAGTAGCTTTTACATTACCACAACACAGGCCTACAGATAATTATCACCAGAAGACCAGTCCAGTGGTGAGGACAGTTCTCCCAAACAACTACAAATCTAAGCCATCCACTCCTTGCCCTTTCCCAACTTCCCTTCACATCAGTAGCTACCCTACTGCAGCCTCCAGTCCACCTTCTTTCTGGACAGAAGAGCAGCTGTTTGAGCACTCATGTTTCAGTGAAATGACTAGAATTTAAAGTGTTCTTAAACTTCTGCAAAGATCCACATTCATCCTTTCCAGAGAGCTTATTATTTCTCATCTTCCTTCTTGTTTCTCATTCGTTTTAAGTAACCTGGAGCAACTGCTAGGCAGGAGCAGACGTGTAGCCTTGCTGATACGGACCTGAGGTCTGCACATGAGTAGTCCTTTTGCCCTCATGAGTAGTCCTTTTGCCCTCATCTTTCTTCTCCTTTTGCCTCCCAACCATATAGCCACTTACCTATGAAATCCCAGAGGAAGACATTCTTATGAAACATGCGAGATGACTTGAACCCGTGGTGGAAGACCTGCTCCAGTGCAGCCACGAGGCCGTTTTCTCCACACAGCAGGATGGTCAGGCTCCCTCTCTGCAGGAGAGGCAGAGGCTGTGAGCACACCCTGCCCTGCTCCTACGCCAGAAGCTTCAGCTGTAGAGGTTAACACTCTCTACAGGTGCTTCAATTCCATTTCTGTCTGTAACAATATTTACATCCATAGTAGATACAGAGCAGGCAATGGTAAATAGGAAGTACCTCTTTCTCTGGTTTGTGAAAATAGCAGGCAATGGTAAATAGGAAGTACCTCTTTCTCTGGTTTGTGAAAATGTTTCACAATATTGTTCACAGCTTCTCCGATTCCCTCCTGGATCTGCCCCGCGTTAGGCTCTGTAAAATGGGGGACAGCACAGTAGTGGGAGACACCAACTTTAAAACATTGAATTGTCACAATGGCATTGCTTGAACTGCAGGAAACATTCAGTGTTTTCAACAGGGAAGACTTCAAGGATTCATTTGTCATGAGTAAACCTGAGCCTTCATTATAAGCAAGCAGCTTATAAGAGGCATCTTTTCCAAGATGAGCAATCTTGGAAAAGGCAAGTAAATTGCTCCACTTAAAAATGCACAACTCAAGGATCTGCCTTTACCACCATTTTACTTCAGTTAATGGTATCTTGCCCATCACACAGCCCACAGCAACCCTCGTGCTGGGAGACATGGGCTGGAAGGTTATAGCCCTGCCATTCAGCTCACATGACACAGGCCAGAATACCTGTGCACTCCTGCCTTGAACCCACACGGTTTTACGGAGCCACAGGAGGGATATATTTTATGGGGCTTGTCTCATCATCGGATACCTTCAATGCTAAAATGTATGCCCTACTTCTGCTCTGACTTTGTTTGGCTTCATGTTGCTGCTGAATTATGCTATGCCTTCATGTGCTGATTTATTTAACCACTCCTCTTCCCATGCAGATGCCTGCAGAATGTTTCTGAGTTCCTCATTTGCTTTCCGGTAAAACAGACTGAGCTTTTATTTCCTCCAATTTTGAGCAGGCTTCTTCCAGACCTTAAATAATTTTCATAGCTCTTCTTTTAAGTTCTTTCTAGCTTTTCAGACATACACTGGTTACCATGAAATCGTCATACAATTGGTATTTTGGAAGTATGGTTTAATTCAGTATCATTTTGATATGTGATGACCTGCATCTCCAAGAGTCTAAAAATATATCCTCGTGTGGTTAAAAGGCAACTGAATTATTGGGTTTGGCTTTTCTCACACCTAAAAGAAATGCTTTGCAAGTAGCTATGGTGCCCTATACCTTGAGCCAATACGGACTTGCACATGTAGACAGCTCCAGTGACTTAAAAATGACAATTTTTAAATGTTGCATGACTCTTGCAAACAATTCCTTGCCATTTTAGCAGCCACAACTTCTAATTTGACTAGAGCTAAGACCGCTGACGAACAGGACTCGTACGGGGTCATGTGTACCCTTGAGCTGACAGGGCACCACGCAGCCCTTGCAGCCCCGTGCCTCGCTTCAGCAAGGTGGAGTTACCTGCAAAGAGTAATGGTAGGGACATGAAGGCTCCCTCTGGAGAAAGGCTCCTCCAAAAGGCAGCTCAGAGCATCCCCATCAGGCACTGCCTCTGAAGTGCCCTCCAGAGAGGCTGATTGCCAAAAGGGCCCGTGAAGATGAGCAGTATTAGCTACGGCCAACCCTGCTTCCTCCTCCACTTCACACCCCTGTGCTCCGGGGGACAGAGGTTATTCCCTCCCAGCTGGGGGACATTCAGGGAGGCCAGGCGCACGATCCTGGAGCCACGCAGGGATATGGAGACGGTGCAGGAGCAAAGCTTGTCCCTCACGCGGTGCCTGCTCTTCCCCCAAGCCTTGGGTTGCTGCTAGCAGCGGGGCTCCTTCCCCTCAGTCCCCGTCCCAGGAGGGAAGGCCGGGACTCACTCATGTTCTTCCCGGTGAGGGAGGTGATGCTCAGCCTGCGCGCGGTCGTCGGGGACTTCTGCTGCGGCGGCGTCCGGCACTGCTTGCCCAGCTCCTCGTCGCACGTCGCCGACACCAGCTCCCCGATGAGGATTCGCTCCAGGCTGCCGTCGTCGACCCCCTTGCCCAGCCACCGGCCGCACGGAAACCTGCCGGTAACAGGCTTCAACTCAGGGCTAGAGGCACAGCCAGCACCTGCACACCCTGCCAGGGCGCAGAAGAACAGCCCCAAACTTCTCACAAACCGCCACCGAGCAGGCAGCGATCGCCTCAACGGTACCAACAAGGCAAAGACCACATTCACCTGCATCCCCAGGGAAAAAGAGCTATGTGTAAAGCTTGCTGAAGAGCACTGGACACACAAAAATGTTATGCATGGATGTAATTTAGGTTTCTGTTAGTGCTTTTTTTTTTTTTTTTTAAATTCTTGTACAGTCGTTAGCGTATTTAGGCATGCAAGAGTTTTCATTTATTGGTTCCATTAAAACAAAAACCCAAAGCTTTTCCCCCGAACAATCTTTCCAGCTATTGGGGTTTAAAGAGCTCATTTATGCACAATTGCAGCACACTGTTTTAAAATCAAGAGTTTATCACTGCACAGAAACATATGAATCACTTCAAAAGCATCCATGAAGCCTGTCTTATCTCAGAGCGATAGGAAGAAAACCTGATATTCAAATCACATCTAATATTTACCAGATTTTTTGACTTCTGAAATGAGAGACGTGTGGTGCGATAACCCAACCCAGCCCTTTCTGGCACTCAGACCAGCCCTGCTTTTCCATCGAAGCTCTGCCCACTGGAGGAGCAGACAAACATTTCCTGGACAAGGCCGCGCGACCGCTAGCAACTTCAGACACGGCAAAACAGAACAGGAATGAAACTTGTTGCTTACTTGTATGTGTGTCCCGTTATTTCGTTCCTGACCATGACACAATCAACCAGCCACTTGGCTAATAGCCCTGAGTTGTCATGACCGATCTGAACCGTCGTCATCTTTCCTAAATTCTGGCACTGAAATGAGTAACGGCTTTTACTCCATTTGAGTAACAACAGAGCACTCCTCCCTCCCACCACATGCACACAGATGGCCTCTAATGCATGCTCTTATTCAGGTTCTTTTGATTTATATAGCGGGCATTTTCTACCAAATACACACAGCTTAAAAAACAAAAAAGAGGATGGGGGGGGAAGGAGAACACAAATTTCTGTTTTGAGGTAAGACAGGAGAAAAGAAGTACCTTGAAATAAATCTGTTAAAACCTCGTGAGGATAATATATTCTTTGCTGTGAGAACTCACCCTGAATAATTCTGTGCTAATTACAAGTTTCTGAGCTAAGGTGACAAAAAAGGTGTGCTTTTGTAGAAGAACGAAGTCTTCAGCACAAACAGCTCCTCAGAATAGCATCTCTAGTACTGACCTTTGCTAGGGTGGGAGCACTGTCCACTGTGAAGTGGGCCCTAGATCCCTTATTCCTCTTAAAGGTCACTCCGCCTATTGTTGGGCAAGGCCAAAATCACGATTACGATAAGATGAAGATCACCATGAGATGGATGCAAGGAAAAACGGGACTCAGGATTCCAGTGCAATATGTAATTGTAGCTGGGGCTGGCAGCTACATCTATTAACATCACCCAAATGCTTCCCTTACAAGACCTTGGGTTTTGCTGTTTTTAACACTGGCAAACAAGCAGTTCAGGCTGACTCTTTCCACAGTGGGTGGCAAGTCTATGTTTTGGGGAAACTTCAGCCAAAAAAGTATTCCAGAATAGCATTACCATAGTCCTTAGAAATTCTTGTTATTTTGCCTTTTAGAAGTCTTGAGAGCTTCTCTACCAAATATTGATATCTAAACAGTAGGCAGCTTTTGAGCATGAAAATACCATGCCTGCCCAAATCCACCAATATTTGGTTGTTGCTTTGGATCACTTTGCTTATGTTCAGTAGATGCAACTTTAATTTCAGTAGCAAGTACTGCTAAGTAATCTCTCCTTACCAGGGCTTGAGCCAGGCTGAAACCCAGGGGCAGGAGTACAGGAAGGTGTCCAAGGCAAAGAGGGAAACACCTCAGCAAGCAGGGAAGAAAGAGCCTGCTGGGGATGGGAGCTCTGCAGTTTGCCCCTGGGCCTGGAAAGCTGTTGGGTACAGGAGCTGGGAGAACAGGAGCAACCCCCTCAGGAGAGGTGGAGGAGACCCACCGTGTGCTCATATGAGCTGTGGTCTGCCCCAGGAGGGGCAGGCAGCCCTATTTCCCTGCTTTATTTTAGATGTTCTGCAACCTGGAAAAGCTGGACAGAATGTGATTGGGTTCTTAACGTGCTAAATCCTTGCCAAATAAATATTTATTTGGAAGCACGTCCCATATTGGAAGTTAAAGGTAATGAGAGTGCACTCACCTCAAATGTCATTTCCAGGTGGTTTTTAGGAATCTGCATTATGCCCGTATCTCCTAGCTCTCCCGAGACACAAATCCACGGGTTTGACGTGGTTATTGCATTGCTCAGCTTTTTGATGGGGATTATCACCGACCTGTACGGGATCACTGGGAGGAGAAGGAAGAAAAACAGAAAGCCTTGACCATTTCTTTTCAGAATGAGCACAATTCGCAGAACCAGCCGTGCCTCCCCCCTGGAGACCAGCCCCGTGTCGGCAGTGCCGCTATTGGGAGGCTTCCACGCGCACTCCCTTCTGCAAGCGAGTTGCAGGAGCAGCCTCCAAACAGCTGCTCCTTAAACCCGGGGTAAGCGGCTCCTTAGCTCTTCCAGGAGCCCCTCACCAGCCCCGGGGGGAGGATTTTTGGGCCGCGGAGGCACTTCTGGAGCAGCGGGCGCCGCTCGGGTGCCGCAAGGTGGTGCTGCGCAGTCGCGGCAGGCATGAGCGCTCGCCCTGCGGCCGCTGCTTCACCGGAGGGAATTAAAAAAATAATAGATTACGAGGGGAGTAAATCCCATCTGCGTCAAGCCATCGCGGTATGGTGAGTGTGGGACGCGCAGAAAGTGACAGGGGGGAGCTGGGAATGTCCGGAATATTGACAAGGCTGGTAATGGCACAGGCAGACCTCAAATCTGAGGAGTCTCTGCCAGCATCTCCCCCTGCAACACACACACTCTTTTTTGGCTCTTTTTTTTGGCTTTTTTTTTTTTTTAATCTGTACCATTTATGTCTTCTTGAGACAGCAGTTTGGACTTAACTGCAAGATATTGTACGACAGCACCACAAGGTGGTTTTTCCTTACGTTTAAAAAGCTGAAAGGCCACTTTTGGAGAAAATAAGCCTTTTTTTTTTTTTTTCTTCTCTAACTGCACTGTATGATGACACTGCACTCAGGAAAAAAATCCCAAAGCTCCAAGCGCTTGTCCTGCAGGGGAAAGCTGCCAAGCCAAGCAGTATGCCCCAGAGGAACAGGGTAATCAAGGATGAATAAATCTCCTTGCACTGTGCTAGTTCTGATGAGATTTTTTATTTTTTAAGAGGAGAAAAAAAAGTAGAGTGACTATTCTGATGTATAACTTAATTTCATTCTAAATGGATTAGAAAAAAACCCTTTAAAGTCAACCCCCAAAATAGGTTATCTTATGGGGTCCTGCCTTCTCAGCCGTGTCCAGTGTTGGAGGGACAACAGATTTCTGTTCAGGTTTTGATGCCACCCCTCCTCTCGTTCTAACAAAAAAGGGCGACGGAAGGAAACCTCGTGGCCATTTAACAAGAGAGGAAGAAGTGGAAAATACACAGGGCAGCACAAAGCGCCTTGTACTCCATCCTCCAAGACTTCCCTCTCCTCCTCAGCTTGCCGAGAGCAGGCTGCTCGCGATGTACATTCAGCGCAGGCCAGAAAGCCACTTCAGGACGCAGCGGGGCTTTTCTTGGAGGAATGATGAAAGAGGAGCAGCTCAGCAAGGAGGACTCCAAGTGCCAGAGCGCGCTCTGCCATCGCCCCCCTCCGCTCTCATCCCCAACGCTCCGGCAGGGCCGTGACCTCCGGCTGGTTTCCCAGAGGAACAGGGAGCTCCGGCCGCGGCTCCCAGGCAAGGGCGCAGCCGGGCAGGCCGCAGCGACACCCCCTCACGCACACCCACCCCTCGGCAGCACCTAGTTTATCTTGAGGGGGCTAAGAGTGATTCTCCCACTCACTGATGGTGGTGAAGACGCTCGTGAAGCAGAAGTAATCGACGGCGTTGAGCGAGAGCAGGTGATACAGGAACTGCTCCCGCTCCTCCTCGCAGCGCAGGAACGCGTAGCGCTTGTAGAGTTTCCTGGGGAAGCAAACACATCGCTGTCTCACTGAGAAAGCCCACACCTCCTGGGCACGCCTGTGCCGGCTCTGGAGGATGGAGGCGCCTCCGTCAGCACCGCGCTCGGCCAAGGGCAGGGTGAGCCCTGAGCCCAGCTCACACCACAGACACTAGACTAGAATCATAGAATCACAGAATCATAGAATGCTTAAGGTTGGAAGGGACCTCTAGAGATCATCTAGTCCAACCCCCCTGCATACGCAGGGACACCTAGAGCACGTGGCACAGGACTGCGTCCAAGCGGGTTTGGAAGATCTCCAGAGAAGGAGACTCCACAACCTCTCTGGGCAGCCTGTTCCAGTGCTCTGTCACCCTCACTGTTAGAAAGTTCATCCCTTTAAAACATCAGTTTTGTTTATGTTGAATCAAAGCACAGACTCACATCAAAGCACAGACTCGTGCTACCCACAACGGCAGATCTGAGCCAACGCAGAGCATCCCCATTTAAGCCCATTCATGCTTTCCCCTTATCATCCCCACCACGGAATAAGCTTGCCTAATACCCTAAATCTTCCTTCCACTCCATCCTCCAGCACAGAGAACTAAACAGAAGGCATCAAAAACCAGGATGCGCCAAGCCACGCTAGGTGCCATCCCTCTGCGCCTTCGGTACGGGGACACATCACATCCCCACCAGCAGGTCTGCGGCCTGGCCAGCCTCTGCAGCAGTCCTTCACACAGCTCCTCACAGAGCCAGCCCCGCTACAAGCTGCATGCTTCACCTGGGACATTTGCTTTTCGGAGGATTTGCTTCTCCTACAGGGATTGCTGTGAGGAAATGAACATCTCTGCTAGGCAACATCTCCACCAGCACTTACACGGGCAGACCACAGCGAGCCTGAAGTGCCTGGGTATATGTGCTTGCAAAAGGAGGGAAAAGCAGGAAAGCTGTGAGACCCGGAGGCCTCTGAGTCAGTCGGGCTGCAGCAAGGACCAGGGGCTGCAATTCGCTTGGGGCAGCCTAACCCAGGGCTGCTGGGGGAAATGGGGCATTTCACTGCTTCACTGGCACGAGGTGCTAAGACAGAAGGGCTGTAACGTGAACGGGAGGTGAGAGCAAAGCTCTGGGAACAAGGGCTGACTTACTTGGCGAGCGCCTGGTTGGAAAGCAGCTGTTTCAGGTGCTGAGACAAAAGCTTCTTCTCCAGGGAAAGCCGTATCCAGGCTCGGGCTCGCCCCACGTCTGTCTTGATCTCACTCATGTTCTGAACATGCCTGAAACGAGGGGAAATAATAAATCAATCGCCACGACCCGACATGCTCCGAGCAGCTGCATCCAGCACGGTGCAGCGGCTGTGCTGGGAAACCTTCCCGATAGGAACTGCTGCGGGGCAAGATGGAGCCAAATCCCGCTTCCCCGGAAGCGCAATCAAAGTTCACACAGTTCCTGGTAAACCCCCAAACCTGCATGAAAACAGTTGCTAGAGAAGCTCGCCCCTAGAGAGAAAACCCTTAAAGAAACCGCACTGAGCAGGAGGAAGCCCCGAGTGCAACCTCATAGCGAGAGGTCCCCGAGCACTGCAGCAGCCCGGATGAGTCCCGACGTGGCCCGGGGACATGGTGCCCAGCGTGGATGGCCCCACAGACGCTGCCTGCACTGCTGAGAACGCAGCCTCCCTACGAGGTCCTGTTACAGCCCCTCGAGGTGCCCACGCAGACCGGCAGTCTGAGGGCCGAGCACAAGCACCTTAAGAGCTTCTCCAAACCATAATGTCATCTGAAGATAAGCCTAGATGTAAGAGTGACTAGAAACCCACGGGCTCTAACAGATCCCTCAATGGCAGCAGCAATGGGGTGTCCCAGGAAAAAAGGATTATTAGAAAAAACAAGCGGCAGGCACGCTCCAGAAACAATATTACTTTGGTCCCCACCAACCTATGTCAGACAGGCCTGGGAGTCTAAACAAAACCCTTCCAGCAGAGAGAGTGCAGATTGCCTTAAAGTACCAGCTCCTTTATCCAAGGAATACCCTCCCAGTAGGATCGCCCCACTTTTCCAGGATGTAACAGGCCCTTGCGCAAGGGGTTGTCTAACACGAAGCAGCCCACAAGCTCCACAGATTTGGTTTGTAGGAAAGCAGAACTGTTTCGTGGGGTTGTCTTCTTTGGTTTTGCCTATCTATTTTTTTTTTAAATCCAATATTTCAGGTTGGAGAATGCCAGAAGCTCCAGTCCCCGAGTACAAGGAGCTTTGGAGGAGGAAGAGACCTGCCACGGCGGATTGACGCTGCTTCCAAAACCCCCTACCTAGTTTAAAAAAACAGTCAGAAAAGTGAGTAACAGTTTCCAGCAGGGGAAAGAAAGGGCAGCAATTTCTTAATTTTTCCTCAGTTTTCATTTTAAGTGCACAGACACTTAGGCAATTCAGCACTAAACCTCTGTGGCAGGCCTATAGTCTCATCAGCTGAGTCTTTGTTGCCATTTACTGCCACCTCCTCCATCTTCCCTTAAGGCCCTCGGCGCACTGCAGAGCGTTAGGAAATCTGGCTGTGTTTACTCCACAGAAAATCCAACAAAGTCATGCTGTGACTGATGCTTTTTACGTTGACTAGTACAGTCTCACTGTCTCGTGCTTTTCCCCATCTGTCTCTTGCACCCAAGCGCGTGCTTTGTGTTATATTTAGACTCTGCATTATTTGGGAAAAATACTCCCTCGTGTTTACAAGAGTTTCTAACATAACAGGACCATGGCCTTAAAGGCTACGACTTAGTGCTGTCCTGGAACGCAGGTTAGCTCGGAACAAGCGAGGTGAGAGGCCTCTCAGCAGCACCCAGCTCTGCTCTCTGCCCAGGCGCATCTGCCCCAATTCTCCAAATATTGGTTTGTGCCTTGGCAAGACCCACTGAGACGTCCGTATCGCCCTGCTCTGCCCTGTAGGTAGACACCTGCATTGCCACCAGGAATAAACAATCAATAAAAGCAGCCGTAGCAGCTTGCCAGTGACAAAATCCAGGTTACCGGGTAAAAAGCTTCTAAAAAGAATCTTTCTTCCTCTTTCACATGATGCCACGTGGGCAGCGGAACAGATGAGGAGCTGTTTCTCTGTGAGCTGCAAAAAGGGCACCCGGAGGGCACGTCCGCGGGCCCGCGCATGTCCCTGCCCTTCCCGAGCACGTTGGGCAGCGACGGCCCTGCAGCCTCCCGGCTGCATCCCAGCTCGGGAAGGCACTTTGGGAAGCAACTCCCCTTCCCAGAGCACCGCAGCGAGGGGGAGGCCTTCCAGCACAGACGGCCGGGCTCGTGATCACAGCTCCTTGAGAAATAGGATGTGCACTTCACTCAGCTACACCACCGAGACGCTCTCTTCAGACATTTAAAGGCTTTGAGATGGGAAGATCAAAGCCCAGGATCTCCCCCCTCCCTGCGGTGCTTGGCTTAAATTACATCCAGTATAAAAGGCAAGCAGGCTGTGCTATTTCCCTGTGAGCAGACTCAAATAGAGAGGGGCTTGAGCCTCATTTCATGCACGTTCTGTACGTCTGCTTTACTTGTTTCTGCTTCAAACCATATTTACATAAAAGTGTGCATTTGGGGAAAATAAGGCTCTGCATCTATGCAGCTTAACAAAAATGTTAAAAAAAAATCCAGTAATCAGCCTTGGTGTCAGCAAAGGCAGCTTAACAGAACATTCAGGAACTCAAATTTATTTCTTTCTTGGTTGCAAGAGACAGAACAGCTCTATTTTTAATCAGTGACCTAAGTGCAAGCACTGCATGCTCTCCGCCGCACAGCAGTGCGCTGAACAGCAATTTCCATGCAAGTCCCTGCGTTGAGACGAGCTTTTAATCCCATTAGCAACAGAGAAAAATCTATATTCCGTGTCCAGCGCGAGGCCGGGCTACGGCGGGGGCCGCCCTTGGCGAACAGCCGCGCTGCGGAGGAGGTTCCCCGCTCAGCGCCACCGCGTCCCCAACGCTCCTCCCGCTTGTGCGTGGGAGGCAGAGGACACGCGGCCTCGCACGCAGCACAGGCGCATCCCGAGCACCACGGGGACTCAGCCCTGCCCTTTAGCTTGTTTGTGCAACCTTGTGCGAGCCGCGAAAAACAAGCCGTGCTCGAGGCCACGCTGTGTGCGCCGCGGAGCGCGCGCTCGGCCTCTGTGCGGACACGGGCTCAAAGTGACCTCCGGACACTCTATTCCTAATTGTGCTGCATATACTCCCCTTCCTACTCTGTCCCACCTTGTGCCTCATTTTGGCCCTACAGGGCATGCCATGCTCTTTAAAAACAGAGCGCAAGATGTTTTAAACTACACTACATAAAACAAATCAGTTTCACACTACAAGTGGGAAGAAAAGTCATTTTCTTTCACGAAAGCCTGACTAATCTGTGCACTCTCATATCTGAAGAAAGTTGGTAATTGCGCGTGTGGCGAAATCACATCAAGGTTATCGATGTTTGGTGAGCTAATTGCCATTAATTTCTTGGCTGTGCCTCGTTTTTAGGTGGAAGAGCAAAGCAACGTTACAGGGATGTCCCCTCACACGCTGCATCACCAGCAGCTCCTCGCGGACGAGCTGTGCTCTCTTGTTCCTTCCCGCGGCCCTGCTGAATCACTTGGCCACGGCGAGGCCGACATCAGAGCGGTGGCTGGGCCTGGCAGCGCCCGCTCGGGGGATACCCTCAAGGACAACTGCCTGGAGGCGCCGCGCCAGCCCCGGCCCTTCTCCTCGCCAGCCGGCCAGGTGTCCAAACGCCACCACGTGAGACGCTCTGCATGGCCAGGCTGAGGCTCCTGCACAGCACTCCACACGCTTCACAATTCAACTTTAGATTCCCTGAGCTACTAGACCTGCGACAACAGGGAAGCCAGTGAGCGCTGGCTTTGAAAAGCAGCCAAAGTCTCTGCTCCAACCGAAGGAAAATCCAAGTTTCCTACCGTCCCAAAGGCCAAGGGACGGGCTCCTGCAGACCCCAGAGATGACCAGTGAATCTCAGTCCTTAGCCACAGAGGTTTCCCTTGTTAGCTCAGCAATGAACCCCGCTGAGAGCAGAGGTTGCCAGCTGTACAGCAGTGCCAGCAGCCACTGTTATACACGTTAAGTATAAAATTCAGGAAGAACAGCTCACTCCAACCCACAAATTGCTTTCTTGCTCTATTTTTCAAGGATTTATTTACATCTATAAATTTGCACAGCTGTTACTATTTCACATGGAATGCTAGCTGAAAAGAATACTGCTCAGACATTGCTGGCAGATTCTTATGTCCCTTGCTTTGCCCATTATCTATTCTTGTTTGCTCAAATAAAAGCAAACAAAAAGGAACAAACTCAGAGGGTACCACGTAATTTGACACATTAAAAAATGTGAAAGCATTATCTGTAAAAGTTAGCTGCATCACCAGAAGAAACTCTCTGGGGTAAACAAAAACAGAACCAAGAAGAACAGAGCATTTTCCTCATCTTTTAGCTAAAATAAATCAGGTAAATACATGAGAAATTTTGTAAAATAATAATAATAAAACAAAAACACTCTGTAGATTTGAATGCAACACTGAGGATGTTTTAATTGTACTTTGAAAATCCAAAGCCCATGAGGATCTTGAACTTATGCTACCAAATAAAAACAAAAAATAACAGAATCAAATTATGTACCTCATATCTTGTATCAGGGAAACCCTCAAAGTAGGCAGGGTAATTCCTGTATCAGACTTTCTTCTTTCTGTTCCAACAGCAACTGTATTGGAGGAAATATACAAAGTTAATACGGAATTACACTTACGGTCTGCAAGGCATTTGTTTACATAAAGGCTAAAATCTTAAGTCACTGAGAAACCCAGTGTTTCTGTGCATTCCCATCAACATTATCCTAGAAACATGGACAGTGACAAAATGCTGTTACCTGATTATTTCTTCCTTAATCCAACACTGAAACTGGATTCGAAAGCTGCCTTTTTTATGTGCGCAATACATTCAAACATACATATATGCATATACAAACACTTATATATAGACATATACACAGTGAAGAGTTTTATTAAATCTCACATTCTTACAGAAAATACAGCTGAGAAGGGCACAATAAACTTAAAGAAGCTATAGCAGCATATATTAGATGCCAAGAATGTCGAGCAATTCTGTCCTTTGGTATTGGGATCAAAGTACTTTGTGGTGACACATTTCGCTCTCAGGAATTTGTGCCTGCCGGCCAGATTGCTTAGTGCATTACTCACTGAAGCTTATTAAAGGGCTTTTAATAAGTGAGACCAGTTTATTCATAGATGTGCTTTTTTAGGACTGATCATGCATGTTCCCCTAAGTAGGATTGGAAGGATTTTGAAGCTGAACGTTGATATTGGGCCCTCTTCCAAATGGCTGTTCTCCTATAGCCAAATAGTGAAGGTCAGGATGGGCCCGCTCATGCACTGAAGACATACTTCAGATTTAAAATTTTTCTTTTTTGTGAAATGCCTAATCCAAAATGCACTCTGTAACTAACTATTGCTATAGGGATTTGTGATCATTAATGAGAAGTAGCCGCTTGGATCTGCTGCTGCTCGGAGGAGGCACTGTCCTTGGAAGATAACCTGCTAAGTTCAGAGACTTGGACTGCAATGTTCAGCAGCAAACACTGGGCAGGCAGATCGCAAGGTCAGAGAAAACCAACCTCTCTTAACACCAGGGAGGTAATTTAGTGACTGTAAAAGCCCAAACAAAAGCAAAACTGAGAGTCTAGGACCTGTGGATAGAGATTAGTCACACAACTTCTCTACTGTCCACCGGGACAGATTTATTGAAGACAGATTTATTCACACAGGTTTTTCAGACAAAGCTCCAGACTTAAACTATCCTAGATAAAACATACAGAAACACTGCTTCTCACACCTCGCTTAATGCTGAGTGTGAGTTAAAAGGGAACAAAGACAGTGAACTGACAGCAAGTGATTTTCCAGACAAGGATAAGCACATTCATTTGCCTCCAACAATGTCCATGCAGCTTCATAGTGTTTATGAAAAGTCTCAAATTTTAAATGGGGCATTAGTAAACAAGTACCTTGGAAGTCCTGCATGGATTTTACGTGGTTGCACTGTTCCCACCAGACCCAAGTTCATGCACTGCTAAGGGATCCCACAGAGGGATCCCTTGGCAGAGGGAATTGCCAAGTACCCACCTGGGGACTCTGCACTATGCTCTTGCTTCTCTTCTCTCTCCTGGTATTGAAGCAAATGGGACCACAAAGCTGATTTCCCCTGAAAATCAAACACGTATGTAGTAAATAGGTTTAAATAAACCAGGAAAAAGAAACCCCAATGAACAAGGCAAGACAACAGGATGGACTGGCATTTCTGTGGGCCAGAAGTTGGGTGACGAGAGTTATTTCTTTCCTTTTGGGCCAGGAGACTTACAGAATAAGGAGGACAACCCCACTGAGCTTGCAATCATACTGCTTGCCTTGTTTCATTCACTCCTCTCCACATGTCTCCCTTCTGCAGGTGGGAAGAAAAAAAACCAAGAACCTATCTGACTACATTTTGAGGTGCCTCTCCAAAAAACTCACATGATATGAACCAAGTTCTCTGAGCCAAGAGATACCTCTCATTTTATATTGAAATTACTCCAGTAAGTAGCAGCTTAACGGGTATAAATGGCATTCAGTATTTGCTAAAGAGTATGTATATATGATGACCCAAGTTTCCAGTTACCAACCTGCTTGACTTGCAGACCATGGCTCCAGATTCTTTCTAGCAGATCACACAGACTGGCAATTAACGTATTTTCCTCCAGACCTGTGATGTTGGCTTCTCCATGTCCAAGCTCCACTGCTTCATGGCCCATCTTCTCTACCAACATGCGTTTAGTCTAAAAAAATCCCAAAAGGTTTCTAAGGGTGTCATACCACCAAGAGCAAAACTTATATATTGAATTTATTTGTACAGATTTAGGGCAGGTGATCTCTAATGGTTATTATGATTATCTCTATGGTCTGGCTGGAGAAAAAAAATCTTCATACAAAGACTGCATATTAAAAATAACAATAATAAAAAAGTTTGTATTAATACTCCATAATATCCTATCCCCATACCTTTATCTGTTACTGATTTGTATCAAAGACAGAGTACTAAGATAGATGCACTTTTAGTCTCACCCAGTGTTATCGTGCTTAGATTACAACTCTTAAACGTTAAAACACAGGTAATATGGTATTACAGCAGCTGCAACTGACACAAAGATACACAGAAATTATGCTTTTGTGGCTACCAAAACTGCTTTAACAGCAAGAACATTGATACTTCACTTGCTCTGCATTAACCACTGCACAACTGTTGCAAATGCTCAACGCTTCCTTTTGGTCAGAAGGCTTTGAGTCCAGAATGTTTATGCTACACTTAAATATGAACAATTAAAGGAAATCCTCTCCGAGATGTCTGATCAGGTTGATTCTCCTTCCTGTCCTTTCTACTCTTTCCATCAACCCTGACTGCATAAACAGAATAGTAGCAGCATATATTCTTACGTTCTTTAATTTCCTAGCAGCTGGAAGTCAGAACACAAAGCAAGATCTACCCTGCAGTAGTGCGGGATACCAAGAGACCAAGGGTGCTCCAGCTGTGAAGGACTTTGGAGACAGTCTGCAGCAGCTATTTATGTTCAAAGCAAGCAAACAGGAGAGCGCTCAGAGGGGAGGGGGAGAAGGTACCTTCATGCGACATTCCTTCAGTAACCCTTCCACAAATTTGCAGTTGGTCTGGGCAATAACAGCTGGAGAGAGGTCCGAGAGTTTGGGCTGCCTTAGATTTTTTCCTAAACTTCTCGCCTCCTGCATGTATTTCTAAAAATAAAGAGAATTATTTTAGATACTGCAAGTTACAGAGATTCTCCTCATCCTAATCCTAGGCAAGCAAATGCTAGCAAAAAGGAATGAGCTACTGTTAATCCTGGAACAACATCGTGTGGATAAAAATCAGTAGGATGAAAAATTAGAAGTATAAAAATTGAGAAATATGGACAAAATAAAAAAGGGCAACTATGCTTTTAAAAAAAGAACCAAACTCTAATGAAAGCCTTTTAAATATTCCTGTTCTACTACTCTGGTGGGGGGAGGGGATTAAGACAAGATTAAGACTAAAACTAAACTAAACTTCAGCAAGTGTCAGCTATCCCTGGTACCAGTAAGAGGTCTACATGCTCAGCAAAACTAAGCAGCTGACTGTGTTGAGGTGTGTAAATATGAAGGCCGTCAAAAATTTGCCCGAAGATTATTCCTGAAGATGTTGTTGAAGTTCATATTTGAAGGCTGGAATTCTCTGTTTTCATGCAAGGCCTGTGGGTTTTCTGAGGAAGGAGCAGCATGTAGTGACAGAGAATGCTGCGCCTCCAGCCTTGCAGCCTTCTATTTGAGGTCAAAATCATTTAGTTAGCAAGAATAAAATCCAAACACATGGAAGTTAACTGCAATTATTCACCTTTTTTTTTTGTTTTGTTTTTGTAATGGGGGTGTAGAGATGTTCAGACTCGTCTGGCTTTTTTGGTTTCAAAATTGGGACAAGAGCAACTTAATATCAGCTCAACAGGTCAGACAGGAATGCAAGATCACGACATGGAAAAGTGTGTTCAGCTAGTTAGTAAGTGCTCAGTGAAGTAATTACAATACCATTGATACTGTAAGGACTTTAAAATAGTTGAAGCACTACTGTATACAGAAATAAAAATCACAGCTGCTGACAAGAGTGTTGTTCAATAAGCAACCTCACAAGTGACTTTCATCTAACTTAGTGCACAAATTAGCATTAAAAGCAGTGAAAAGTCATACTAGGGACAACTAATCAGGAAATCTAACGTTTCTTCTTAAAACGAAAGGATGAAAAAAATGAAAAGTGCGGTTATAGTCTGAAGAGTCAAAAAAAAAAATCAATAAACTGACTTTATTCATCGCATACCTTGGTATTAAATGAAAAACAATGAATACAGTTAGAAGTTCAAGAGAAGAATGATTGTGGTGTGGGAAACCAGCCGAATGCTGCCTGCCCGTTCGTCGGTGTCTGGAGGCAGAACGCGGAGCTCTCGGGGTTCGGCGTCCCTGGCTGCACGGCCAGGCACCGACACGGGGAAAAAGGAGACAAAATGAAATGGTCCCGCTTCCGATTATAACCACACTTCTGGTCTGGGGACGTGCTCGCACACGCCGAGGAGGGCAGAGGAGAGGTTCGCAGCGTTTCCTCGCGCTAGCAGCACACCAAAGCAGCTTTCAACGTGACAAACCAGAACGTACCAGGCAGCACTCAGAGAAGGATTTTTTGGGAGGCCGTGCAGGAGGGGGTGGCCCCTGGTCCCACTCCCAGAAGGCCATTGAGTTCTGGCGAAGCAAAAGCTCCTCCGATGGCTAAGAGGGGGCAGATGCCCCAGTGGCCGAATAGCCGGGAAGAAAAGAGGAGAGAAAGCACAAGAAGCATGCAGATGACCCACAGCCCGAAGGAAGAAAGTAAAAACACATGACAAAGCACCGAAAAGGCTCTGCTGCAGCAAACACAAGGCCACGTTCATGACGCACTTGCAATGCCACATCAGCAAAAGGAATGACGGGACGTTTGCAAAGGCCGTTTTGGTGCGAAACGGTGTCTGAAGCTGGGATTCAGACAGGCCTTCGAGTTCTTTAGAGCTGAAAATGATGACACTGGTCAGAGGCATTCAGCAAGATTCAGAGTGAGTGCTGCACTTCTGCTAGGGACATACAGAAGAAGCACATGGACATGAATGGAAAAATATGGTAGAAAATGTTTAATGAAGGACAAGGGGCTGAAAAGATAGGAAAGAAATGCACGTACATGACTGACATTTATGGGATGTGTGGGAGTCTCCAAGCTTTAGGCAGAAAGGGTCTCAAACTCTCAACCTTTCAAGCAGGCTTACCTATGCCTGCAACGCTCAGGAAAGCTCTAAAGAAAAACTCTTGAAAAAAAGGAGGGAGTCCTGCCTCATGTGCCAGGGGCCACTCAGATCCGCGACTGTTCCAAGCCCTTCCCACCGGCCAGGGCTCAGTTCCCCTCCTCCCGCTGGCACTTACCTCGCGCAGGTCGTTGTCCAGCGCGATGTGCTCCGAGTGCTGCCGCAGGCGGTCCTTCCGGCGCTGTGCCGTCGTGCTGCGGCTGGCCCAGCGGCTGCGGGACAGCGAGAAACGGGGCACGCGTGAGGGAGGGCCCGCTTCTGGATGCGCGACCTTGACGCAGCCAGTAGGTAAATCACTGCATTTGCACTTTACTGGCTGCGTTTGCCAAAACTGGTGCCTGTTTGAAGGAACAAACTGTGACGATGTGTCTCGAGTATCAGCTTGAAACATTTCTCCTCTCTTCCATGAGGTTTTCTTGGTACTTCTCTAGTTGGAATTACCCCTGAGAACCCTGCCACCGTGATAGGAAGTACTATAGTATAGGTAAGCCGACGCCTAACAGACATAAACAAATATTAAGATTGCTGGGATTAATCGTGTTGCTGATCTTCAGCTCACCTCTTTCTCCTCCTCATTAGGTTTCTAAATAGCACAGAAAAACAATTGCCTTTTTGCTACCTCTTCATTTATGTCCAGGTCAATTTTACTCATCTTAAGCTACTACCTAAAAGTAACCACATTGGAAACATGAAACAGAGCAACTTAATGCTCCCAAGTGTCCAAGCTCCCTTATGTCACATAAGCACAAAACACAGCACAACGTAACTGCCCCCCAAAGTATACAGTCTGAAGTTACTGTACTTTGATGATATGATAAAATTCCATCGAAACCTTGAAACCAAAAAGTCCAACTGGTGCAGAGAATTTTTTTTTTATAGAAGCAAGCTGAAAAAAAAATGTAAAGCAACCCATAAAGCCTTAAAACTAAGCATCTTAATGCCCTATATCTTCAAAGTGATGTTACTGTGGCTGTGTTGGCTGTGTGTATAAGCCAGTTTTTAAATAACATGATAAATAAATAAAGCTAAGCATATGACCTTTGAGCTGCTTCTTTAAGTCACTCCTGCCTTTTTCCTGCACTCCCAAGTTAAAAGATAATCACGGTTCACCTCTTCGCCATCCCCTATGAAATTAAATCTTGCTTCCTTTTATAAGCAATGCAACCTCAAGTCTCTTAGCAACTAAATGAAAGAGACCAATATGTGCAAAAATTTGTACCTTTTCTGAGGAATACATTACCGACACAAGCATCTTCGCAGCTTACCAGAAGTTCTTAAAATACACAGCCTGTGACTTTAGCACCTCAGCATTTCTTGAAAACAACAGCTATTGCCCGAGGAGGTGGGAAAAAGTTACATTTTGATAATCTCGACTAGTAGAAATGTAGCAGAGAAAAATCACCCTTTCAGAGAGCTCAAATAGAGGGCAGTGGAAGTAAAAATAATTTTAGCTACCTGTTTCCAGGTATCTCCTGTTTATTGCAAATTATAATGCCTGCACAATACATAACACAATGTTAACACCACACTGGAAATTAAAATTATTGATTTTTTTTAAATTATTGATTTTATATGATCTTATTGTTTTTCATATAAGAGCAATAATTTTAATTTCCATTTTTTTCCCCTCCTCCAAATTGTTATTATAGAGTCTGAATTCTAGGCCAAGGTTGGACACCTTTCCACCGGCCTTTTTGAAGCTACTAGGAGATTTAAGGAATTGCTGCTGGCTTGCTTCAAGGGGACACGTCTCCCTGGAGGTGAGGACAGAATACAGCCCTCCAAATGAGCACCCGTCACACACCATCGCTAGAAAGTCCTGGTTATTAATCCAGACTATCTGAGCACTTCTGGCATACAAAGTGAAGATTATTGGCTCTTTATGGAAGGAAAAAATAAATTTAAAAGAAAGGGAAAAGGCTAGTTGTTGGTTATTTGGAGCAGCATCCCATGAAGCGAGCGCGGAGGTCGGTGCCTTCGGCTCACGCGCCGGGAGGCCGGCTCAAGCGCTAGCAGCACTGGGGCGGGTTTAAGCAGCTAAATCTTTTTTAAGCCTTTTCTTTTATGGCCTACCTAGAATTTTCCTGAAATAAATTTTAAAAAGGACACGTTTAAACGTTACAACAACCACTCCCTCCCGCCTCGTCAGCAGAGACGAGATTTAGAATTTTTCATTCCTCTCCTTCTGGTCGCTCTGAATGACTTGGATGGGGTTTACTGCCATTATTAAACACAGGAGCTAAAGCTCCACGGTGCCAGGAAGAAATGAGGTCGGGCCGGAGCAGACACACGGGTAAAGGGCAGGATACTCAGCACAGGGTGCTACAGAACCTTAGACACCCATTGAGAAGACAACTTCATCAGTGTGCTAAAGAATTCACATCCCAAGTCACCCGGGCTCAACAGTTCCTACTTCAGAAATGATTTTTAAGCACGTATTATCAAATTCAAGAATGAAATTTGACTCAAAAGGAGCGTATTTGGACAGAAACAGTTAATCTTTTCATTGCACCTGCCAGTAGTTTGCCATATTACATTTATGTATATTAAATCCTTGCTTCAGATTTCATATTCAAAAAAAGGTGAGCTTCTACTGTTTGCAAACTTTAAATAAGATCAGTGTTTTTGAGGACGGCTCACTGCTGACTCATTTATGACTCATTCAGATGCAATGCAGAGTTGCTCTTATATAGGATGTGAAAGCACAGTAGCTTGGCTGGATTGCAAAAAAAAAAAAAGTTGTATTTAATACAGGCAGCCTTAAAACAGCACCCAACGATGGGGAAATTGGTGGGGGAAAAAAAAAAAGCATATATCATATGAATTACTCCATATGGGACATACGGATAATTTCCCCAAGGGAACAGAAGAGTTTGTTTTGTTGAAACCAAATTTAATTCTATCACGGTATTTAGCTAAAGATACTACTTTACATTATATACATCATAGCTGATATTTTCTTTTAAAAACAAAACCAAAAAACAAAGGAGAAGATTAGCCATGTTCGTGTTATTGACTAAGCAAGCAGGAGCTCTACCTCAAAGAGAGAGCACTAGGACACCGGGCATATAAACTCTGGGCAGCTCAGATATGGCAGGGACGGAGCACCAACACAAGTCACGAAGCCATGCCATGAGCTTGGCACAAAACTGAACCCCCTGTGGGCACTGCTAACAGCATGGCTTTGCAAATACTTCTACTGAGACAGTGCTGGGGTCAGCAACACACAGCACGGGAACAAATACCTGTGCGAGAAGCAGCTAATGCTTCTGCAGGGAGCTTCAGGGTAAGACCAACACGTGGCTTAGCTAAACGTGAGGCTGGAAGGTGCCTGTGGAGGGGTCTGTGCTCGAAGCCTTGGTGTGCACCCCCCGTGGGTGCAGGACCAACCGCACCGAAAGAAAAAAAAAAGACAATTCAAGCTATCTACTGAACGCGGAATAAAGCAAAGCCTGCCCTGAAAAAAACCTGAAGCAATCAATGAAAGAAATGCCAGTTCAGTTGTTCTCTGTAGGCATTCACTACAAATTGCCAAAATGTTAATGTATTCCCATGCTTGATGTGCAATCAGTGTTTTCCTCTACAGCATTTAATCTCATTTATCAAGCTTCTTAGTACAAATTGAGTTACAAGGTAATCAATTAGATTCAAAACACAGCTTGTTTAGTTGTTTCAGTTTTGCGCTGCAAGCATATTCACCCCAATTTCACAATTAGCTCATCAAAAACCATGTTCAGTGCTTATGCGGTTCTGCTTTTTGTCATTCAGATGCCTCGCCACAATCACCCCAAGCGATACCGGTTTGCAAATCTCACTTCGGGCTTCTAAGAGCCTGGCAGGAAAGGCCCGTGGGGAAGGAAGGGAGGAACACTGGGAGGTCACAACGTGGGGACGCTGTTTGGAAAAGGGAAGCGGGACTCAGGAAACTGCTGCGCTATCCCAGACTGATGGACAACATGCCAGCGCGAACGGCAGCTGGACTCCTGTGGAAGCTGCTGTTTTATGAGGTTGGAATAAGCTGGATGGGCCATTTCTGGAGCTGGAGGAGCCTACAAATTCACAAGGTTTTCCTCAGCAGGTAGAAGAGGTGGCTTTGTCCTCAGGCTCCTGACTTACCAACGGAGGTGAGCGCAGGGCATCACTGCCTGATATGGAAGAATCTGAGAGTGTTTTTGGTTGCAGTCAGTTAGGTAGGGTTACTCTTTGCTCTTTTTGGACTGCAAATGCCAACTGAAACGTTGTCCAGCAGAGCAAAAGTTCTAGAAATTGTAGGCAAGGATGCTGGAGGTCACAGGGCACCCTGCAGGCTCTTCCATCACCGATAACCGGTCCCCTCAGCACCCCTGCTCCTTTCAAGGGCAGCAAGGCACTGCACGGACATGCGGGAAGCCCACGCTCCAAGGCGGGCTCACTGTCACACTGCCCGAGAGCTTCCAGTTGCCCCCTGCAACACCATCCCCATGCTCCAAGTTTGCCGTGTAACCATAAGCTGCTAGAAGAATTACAGAAATATTTGTATAGTTACCATCTTTTGCTTAAGTTTAGGTCTATGTACTCTGCACATCAAGTGTGTCCATGCTCTGGCAGACTTGATCAAAAAGACTATTAGGGAAACTGCATATCTAGGGGCCTACTCTCCAGTTCTAGGGCTCTTTTGGGGTTTGGGTGGTTTGTTTTAATTTGCTTCTCCTTCCATTCCCCACCTCCCCTTCCCTTTTCCCACAATAAAACTAAGTCTCAAGTCAGTTTCAGAAAAGTTTTTGCAAGCTGAACAAGTCAATATTTCCCAACCATCATAGGGAGAAGGTAGAGAAAAGCCCAAATGACACCAAGCGTGCACCTGCAGCCCAAATGAGTTGGCCAAAATAGGAGCAGGTTTTTGAAAGCTCCTGACCTGCATACGACCAAGCAGATGAGCGTTCAGTCAACAAACCCACTGCTCACTGAGACAGGAGACATCCAGGCCTTCCCTTTGGCCAGGCTCCGAAAGGAGGTCTTGGGCTCATCGCTTGCATGACACCCTGCAGTGTTTTACCTAGAAATGTGATCAGCATTTGCTGCCAGATGTGTGCAGATGGAGGTGATCCAGCCCGTCAATCCTTCCCCTGTCCCCCAAACTGAATTTCTGCTTGTTACAGTCCTGTAAGCCACACAGTGCCCTCAAATCAGAGCCTGTGGTTAGAACTAAGCACAACTGAAAAGTTGGTTTGCTCTTGCATCTCATTCCTGACCTAGATATTAAAGGCATACGTATTACACCCTAGCAGCTCCAGTGTTCTGCCTGGATACAGGAAGACAACAGCAGGATAGCGCTACAAGCTCCGCATACAGATTTGCTTAGTTTATTCCTCCTGAAAGGTAAGCCGTAAACAGCTGGTTGCTGCCCTGGAAAGACAGGTTATCATTAAAATAGCTTTGAACCAGTTTACTACTGTGCAACCACCACAACAAAAATTCACGGGAGCAAGAGAGTGATTTTATTTTTTCTCCTGCAAAATTCAGGACAAAATTTGCTCTACATAAGCTGAAGTTTGGAAAAAAAAAATCAGAGTGATCTATCAAACTATTTTAATATCCCTTCTGTTAACCTCACAAATGCATGTGAGATCCCTGTGAACACAGCTGAAGTGTTCTGCTCTCTATCCCTGACCCCATATGCAAAGGCTCAGTCTTGTTTGCTAGTATAATGTATCACCAAGAAGCAAGTACTGAGAAATTCAAATTAATGGAAGGCTGTAGCTCAATTGATTTTGCGGTCGGAAATGTATGCTGTATTTGCAGAGGGCATGAAAAGGCTATCTATTTTATAAAGTGGGTGTAAATTCAGCAGAATTACATGCCTTAAATGAGAGAGAAAGAGTCTTCTCAGTTGCTCATATAAAATGCTGGGATGCAAAACGATGTAAACAGATGGTCCTGAGATTTCCCAATTACAAACCTTTCTGGCAATATAAAACTGGAGGAATTCCAGACATTTGTCACGTTGACATCACTTTGTGGTAAGTAATGGGATTTTGGCTTTTACAAATTGCAACACGCTGCAATCTGAAGACCACAACTATCTAAATCAAAATTAGTACTTGAGGAATTAAAGCCACATTTTAGAATAGTTCCCCATCTAAAAGCAGCAGCTCAAAGGCACAGACACATCTGTATTGAATACAATGTTTATTCCCAGCTCCACTAAGATTTTGTAATGTAGCCAAAACATGCAAGTAGGCAGGCATGGTCATACTGCTAATGACACTGTAAAATCCCAACTCACCATGAGAAGAAGGGGTAGACTGCTAAACACGACCTCTCCAAAGCCAAAGCAAGCCCCGATTTCTCAAGGGAGCATTATCTATAAGCCTTCAGTTTTGGCCTGATTTTGCAAGACGACTGCAAAAACAAAGGAGCTCTGAAACACACATTCCTCCTTTCATTTCTGTGAGCTAACTGCAGCTCTTGAAAAATAAAGCATTGAGTTTGATCATCGGCAAGTCTTACGCATAACAGGTTCTTAAAACGGCACTCGCGAGCGCCGGGGGGCCGAGGAAGGCGGCGGCAGGATGGTGTGGGCCTGCAGGGCCCTCCCGCCGGCGATGCGGGCAGCGGCGCGCAGGCCGCGTCACGGCGCGAGGCCTAGCGGCGACACACAGAGCGCCGCGGCTTGGGGAGCTTCGAGGTTCACCTGCACTGACCTAGGCGGGCCACCGCGCTGGAAACTGGGGCCCAAGGCAGCCATTTCAGGAACATGTGATTTAATTGACAACATAACTCCTGTTCTTTTGAGGGAGGGGAAAAAATCTCTTATCTGGGCTTGAAGGGAGAGAAGGAAGGTGACGTTCAGCGCTTACTTTCTAATGCACATTATTTGCTACAGATTCTCATTTTGGCTTAGGTAAGGAGTAATGTAACAATATGCTTGATTTCACAGCTATAGTACGCCTACCATCAGACCAAGGTACACTAAGGACCTTATTGGATTTCAAAAAAAGCAACCCAAATACAAAACCACATGCTTAAACCAACCTTATTGAGCTATTCTTCTAGGTTATTCTACTTCAGAAATTGAAAGTGCATTATAAAAATCTTCTGGGCCATGTAATAACAGTTAAAAGTCACAAAGGAATAGAGCAAACATCAATTTTATTCTACAGAATAATTGCATCAACATGAGGATTTTCTTCAAAATCTGGATTTTTGTTTGAGTTTCCCAATTGTTCTATTCAGTGGCTAACAAGGAAGAAATTCACTTTAAATTTGTTATGGCAATGGTAAAACTTAAAATATGCATGAGAAGACACAGTACTCACCACTAAAATGAACAGAAAATATTACTGAACAATCATCTCAAAACCAAAGCTAACAATTTCTAGCATCAGCCAAACTATGTCCAAAACTTCAAAGTCACAGCTGTAACAAGGCAGAAATGAAAAGAGTTGCTGCCTAATTAGACTGTTTAAAAAACGTTAAAAAACAGGACTGTTGTCCCTTCCTGTGACTTTTTCATAAGAAAAACTTACTTTCAAGTCTAGAAAACAAAAAACTGTGCTTACTTGTTATTCGTGGGTCCAGTTGCCAAGACATCTGATTGCAACTTTGGGAAAAACCCTTGCTCGTATTTCCCCTGACCAATCTTCATATCAAGTAAGTGTGGGTGGATGGCCGTGTGATCGATCTTCATCAGCCGCTGCTCGATGGACTGGGCTACAAGTCACATTCACAGGCAAAGAAGAGCATTAGGGAGCTACCTGCAGTCATGCACATCAACAACTAAAGCAGTCATTCTCCAATCCCTGGAAACTTAGAAGTTAAATATTCACTGTTGTGCCTGAAATCTGTCACTTACAAATGTGAGGAAACACCTGCACTGTTATTTCAGTTTTAGTTTCTTTACTGAATGCAGTTAGTACTGGAACAAATAAGTTAGCAGTTAAACAAGCAGTTATTCAAGGAAGCTTAATGGTGGTAAGATGCATTGCTAAAGGACAACCCTTTTTCTTTTTCTTTTGATAAGATAGATGCAAATATTTTTAAAGAGCTGTGCAGTCTTGCTCTGCAGTTATGCGGTAGGCTTAAATGCTCTTCCTGCAGAATTAAGACTTCCTGCAACAGGAGCAGCTCTCTGTGAGGCCTGAGCATCTCGCTTTGCTTGACACATGTTTCCGTGGACAGATGTGTAGGGAGCAAAACCTGAATTCTGCAAATACCACAACTATCAGATCCTCCCCCTGCAAGTAGATACGCTATTACTGGCCACCACATGCTGAAGAGAAATCCTTCTTGGACAGGCCTTCGAAAGCCATAGGTAACCATAGGTACCTTGCCTAAAAGGCAAGAGGGGTGCTGGAGACCAACAGAAGCTGGGACGTACTGAGGTCAGAGAGGGGCCTGCTGGAAACCTCCACTCCAGTGAGGTTAATGGACTTTAGTCATTTACTTCAGTATGTGAAGATTTCATCTCAAATCTCTACCAGACCGAAAACAGATCTGTCAGCCCCCTAACAGCGAGGCAGATACACTGTGAACAAGAGTGGAAAGGAGGTGTATGATGGAATCAGCATTTAATTAACATCTTGATTATTCCTTTTTTGATAGACCGTCCATTAACAGACGGGCTCATTCTTTCAGCCTATCATGGGTAGCCAATAAATATGCAAAATGTAGAAGCTAAATTCATTTTCCATTTGTTAAGAACTACTTAGAGCCCATGACCTATTTTATAAATCTGTGATGTGAAAGAAACTGTCAAAATCTACATATATTATCATTAGAAACTCAGAAAATTTGTATTGCTTTCTTTTGGAGGAAGCCAAAAAGGCCTGGGTAGTATGGGGAGAGAAGGTTTGAAGGGCTCCAAAAATAGCAGGTTAAACAAACAAGTGCTCGATTGGTGCTCGGTTCAGGTACGTGTGACTGGGAAACGCGAAGGGAAGTAGGCATTACTATCAGCTTGCTGCTTCTCACAATACAGCATATGAGGTTCTGGTGCCACAATGTCTACTGAAGCTAGGCGTTGCATAGACAGGCGACCTGCAAATTACAATTGTTTTTAACAGAAAAAAATTAACCTGTTGAAAGATTTTTTCCACATTGCTGCTACATTTGTAACAAGTAAAATGTTCTGAAGGGATGAAAAAAAAAGAAAACAAAAAAAGGGAAATGCGTTTGCCTCAATTCATTAATATGTGACCAAATTCAAGAGTATAATTCCTCTGTACTATTTGGAAACAAAATAAACAGTTTCATGATAAGAAATTCAGCTGTCATTTGAAAATGTTCCCTGTGAATATACTGAAAAATTCCAAATCTTCACTACATACCATATAGTACATTGTATCAATTGCTGAAGCTAGTAAAGATGCCATACAGGATTATGCCTCTGACCCTGCTCTGGTCAGATAGGATGGATCAGATTGCTGAAGCTAGTAAAGATGCCATAAAGGATTATGCCTCTGACATCACCCCCTGCTCTGGTCAGATAGGATGGATCAAAAAAAGTTCACAGGAAGGAAAAAACAAGGTCAGTGCACAAGAACAGGGACTCAGTTCTTCTGTATGGTGCTGGACCAACAACTAAAGCACAGGAATTGCATTCCTTCCCATTGCACTGATAATAGGGGTTGTGTGAAATGAGAAAGTGCAAGTCTCAGTGTGCAGCTTCGTGGTTTGGTTTCACAGAATCCCAGGATGGTTGAGGTTGGAAGGGACCTCCAGAGCTCATCTTGTCCAACTCCCTTGCTCCAGCATGGACACCCATAGCACATGGCACAGGGTCGCTGGGTTTTGAAGATCTCCAGAGAAGGAGACTGCATTTCAGAAATACCACATGGTTTGGGCTACAAAACTTTTTTTTTTTTTTTCTCCTCTGCGGAACATGCAGTTTGTGTAATTTCAAAAGTAAATGTGAACTGAGACCAGATTACAACAGGACAAAACTAAAAGTGAATAAGTATTTTTACTGCTGAGTCATCTCAATATTAAAAAAAAGTTTCAGGCAGGGTGATAATTTCTCTTCCTTGAAGTTTTTTAAACTCTATTTGGGGATTCGATAGTTATTCATGATAACAAGCAACATAATCAGACCCTAAAACAAGAGCATATTTCTTTTCCAGACACCAGTTATTGATCTCACTGAAGAAACTGTGACCTGGGTTGTGCAAGATGTCAAGCTACATGGCCATTTTGATTTTTGGAAACTTTGCCTTCATTTGGTTTGTTTTTATTAAAGGCATCAACCCAAGAGAGTTGAAACAAAAGGGCAAAGGGTTCCCTCTATTTTTAGCTTTGAAAAGAATAGTGACATTTTACATAGGGAAAATAAGGTGACTGCTAAGTACTTATAAGGTAACGCTATGACCTCTTCGCTCGCTGCAACTCTCAGATGACTGAAAAATTATATTTCTTTGTAGCTGACATTGTACTTTTGAATATTTTATTAGTCCAGCCGAACATACCTGCTTCTTTTAAAGTGGTGCATTTCTGGTAGTTGGATGTCCGCAGTGCAGGGGCCCTTACATTATATAGCCTTATTTTCTCAATCCGGGAGTCAAACACTCGCAGAAAAGGGTCCTTCTCTTCCCACTGAGAGATTATTTTATTATCTATGAAGGTTGCAAACATCTGCGTTTCAATGAAGTGAGAGAGGAATGGGAGGTAAGGCTCAGGTTGGTCCGAAAGGAAGGAAGCCTGAAATACAGAAGAGTTCATTAGTGCCACTCTTTACTTCAGTCTAAAAGCCTTCCTATGGGAGAAGGCAGAAGCAACAGCTAATGGCCAAGTTTGGACAAGGCTTTTCCGCAACAACAGAACTTCTTATGGGGACAGCAGAACCTCGTGGGTCATCCCTTCAGTCATGGTGGTGAGAAGTGGTTAGGGAAGGATCACTACAGTAAAGGGAACATGGATATATGGAAGCAGTTCATGAACTGTCACAGAGGTAGAGCAGCTACTGTGCATAGGAGGGCAACCACAGAGTATCAGAGTAAACAGTGCTCTCCAGCTACTGCTCGTTTCTAAGACGGGCAGTTAACCATGAAATTCCAATTAAAAAAAAAAAAAGAGAGAGAGAGAGTGCCTAAATCTATCTGAACTTAGAAAACCCTACCCTTAGAAGACCACATTAATGCAGAAATGCCAGGAGAGATTACATAGGCAATCTCCTTCTCCTGAATGCAAGTGTTCAACACCAGCCTACAATCAAACAAAAAAGCCACGGCAGCGTTATTTGATCAAAAAAAGTCAGAAATCAATATTTAGCCTGTTCCTTAATGCTTTTCCTCTGCATGTTCTCCTTAGAGCAGGTTTTGCATCTAAAAAAGGTGCTGGTCAGGAGCGCTATTACTTTGAGAACTCACTGAGAAAAAATAATTGTGCAGGCTTCAGAACAATTCTCTTTCCTTTTGTGGGTCTACAGACTACTCATTTCCCCACTTCCAATCTCAGCTTGCATGACACTCTTCTGTACACACTACAATACAGCCATAACAGTCAGCTTCTCATGTAATGAGGTGCTTGCCTTCTAAGAGGCAATGCTACACACTAATGAAATGCTGAGCTCTATTGTGAGATTAGGAAATGAGAAACATGAAAAATTTGATTTATTTTTTGTCTTATGTGTGAATCTCTCCTGTCAGTGTAGAAAAAAAAAAAAGACCTTTTCTATTTCTACCTTTCCACCAAGCCTATGGTTAAAACTGGCTACTCAATGTGTCTACTCAGTTCATGCTGGTCGGGATGGCTCTGGACATTTCATTTCAGTTTACTCTGGCAGAAGGATCTGGTCCTGCATAGTGAGAACGGACAAATCTGTCTGAGGTAGATGAGGAATGGAGAATTAAAGTGCACCTAGACAATAGATACGTGATACAATTATTCTCTCCCCACCAGCCTCAAAAACCCTTTCAGATGGAGGAAAAAAATAAGTAAATAAAATAAAAAGCCATAGCTGTTTTTACTTTGTCAAAGTTTTGCATTTGTTCCCTGTTTGTCAGCCAGGACTCCATATCGGGTGCAGCTTGAATGACAAAAGCCTCGTAGTCTGCAAACATTTGCGTGAAGCGGTTGGCGAAAACCTCCCGAAGCTGCACGTTGAGTTTGTAGTCCCTCAGCTCCAGCTCCTCACACTGCAGCTTCACGTCCCCTTCCCTGTCCACCAGGGGAGCGGTGATGGTCATTTTCTCCACCGTGACGCCCGTCCTCTTGGTTAGCGCTTGCAGGCGGGCGATGGTTTCGTTGCCTTTTAGCAGCTCGTACATGTTGATTGCATTGCTGGGGATGTTCCCGTTCTTCTTGTCATTCACCAAGTCATTGAGAACCAAGTTCTTGAGTTTGGTGGCACTTTCGCTGCAGTGCAGGTTACCTTCCGGGGGGATCCCAAACTGGAGGAGGACCTCGGAGATCTCCTGGATGAATTCCAGTTTGTTGGGGAACTGGGGGAATTCTTCTGGCAGTTCTATGAAATGGTTATCAATATCCACAAAGCACAAGTTTGCCTGAAATACAAAGAAAAAAAATACTTTCAGATACTACACTTCATGCTACAGAGACTGGATATCCCCTCGTGGAACAGCCACAGATGCAACTGCAGGAAGGATGAGCAGCACCGCTTCGCAGCCTGCACAAACACTACCTGTGGGTTTCACTGCCTCCCAAGGCTGTTTATTTTACCAGGAACCAGCTCAGCCACAAGAACTCTCTGTAGCAGAGCTACCAAGGAGCCAAATCTTATTTTCTTCTCTCCATCCTCCTTCCAAGGTGGCTGCTACTCTTGGAGATTCCTCTGTCTGAGATTTAAACAGAGTGCTCCTAGACAGCTTTTCTACACGTGGAAATAGATTTCAGTCATAACATTAAACCCGAATGGAGGCATGAATCTAGCAGAGAAGATATTTTTACTACAAACATGTCCACGGGGGGAGGAAAGGAGCTTGTATATATATATTAATTACATTGCAAATGCACCCTCAGGATCTTCTGAACTGCAGCTTCAATCTGAAATTCCCAGGCTGAGCGCACCGTGCGTTCTGAACAGCTCCCTAAATCAGGTCGGGTTCCCGAGGGTTGAACCGGGTGCGAAGCGGCCGAGCAGGAGCTGCAGGTCCTGCTGGGGCTGCCTCTGCCCACGCTCCGACTCCGGGCAGGGCCAGCTGCGCAGCGGAAAGGACCGTTCCCCCTTTTCTGGCTTTAATCAAGGCAATTTATTCCCACAGCAAGCATGGTTATAAGATTCTGGACATTTCAGGACATACTGTGACCTTAACTACATTTCACAGATCCTTTAGAGGTTGTTAGGATTCATTTGGCAAAGTAAAAGTGTCCCTTCAGTTTCTTTTTCTATAATAAATTTGAAGCATACAAATAAAATCATTTCTTTGTACAAAACAATTTGCTTTACTTAACATATTAAAGAGTCATGGTATGCATTGGTGCCGTTGTTTAGCTCGGGGACCATCTTCTTATCCATCAATATTTCATTTCAAAGGCTTTTTCATTTCAGTTCTGCATATCATTTACAAAATTTGAAAAATGAGATTTCGATTCAGAAAACCCTCAGGGAATTGGTCTCACTTCTTTCTTCAAAAACAGCTGATGATTGAAGTTAATGCAAAGTGATTAGTAACCTTAAGACAGCACCATGGGCAGTTGCTGACGAGGGCCGTGCTTCATCACCGCTTGCGTGTTAAAGGATTTTCTATTTTTTATTGTCTATAGGAATGTAATAATCTACATCCTCCCTGCACAACACCCCTTCTTGCCCTCTCACACAGCAATCTGAACTGTAGTTTTCATAAATGCTGGTTTGGTATTTTTCCACTCATTTGTTAAACATTGTAACAGCTTCTTCTTCCACTATTACTCTTCTCTCACTGGGGATATTTAATTTGTTATTCCAGCAAAAACCCATCACATTAGAATTTTAATTTAAGGAAAATGACAGCTTAATCTACTAAGTAAAAGCATATGACTAATAACTTAAAAAATACATGGTAATTATGTAAGATTAGCATAGTTACTGAAAAGCATAGCTAGATACCCATTTCATTTCAAAGCCATTACAAATTTTGCATGATCGGGGCATTGCACCCACGTGTTAAGACTTGACTTGCTCTGCAACATGCCACGGGGACTACGGATCAGTCACCTCTGCCTATCACCTAAACCAGATCTCCACTAGAAAAGAAGCTATCCCGGCCCTCTGTGTGGATTCTCCACTGCCTCGTATGAATTCACACAGAAACAGCCTTGCTGCTTGGCTCCTCACTGCCTGTCTCTGGGAGGATCGCCTGCTCCCAAGGCTTGGGAGCAGCTTTGCACAGAGCCTGGCTCAGCAGGGCTGCAGTCGCTAGACATTACGGCGGCACAAACAGTCACTCCAGGGGTTTCCACCCTTAAAGTGACCACTCACCTTAAAGTGACCAACATGCTCAAGAATGGGCAGTTTTGGTATGAATGCAAGTTGAGCTCTTTCAAAGCCAGGCTGCTGTGCTCATGACAAACCCAGGGGCAGTGAGGAGAACACGGGGTTCTCCATGGGGTCGTAGGGACGAGCAGGACTCAGCTTCCCGCTGGTGAGGCAGGGACAGGCTCCAAATCAAACCCTCTAGCAAGAATACCTCAAGTCCGGCTTTCCCAAAGACCATTCCCAAATGAAATATCCTTTAGTCCTCTGCTAATAGGGCTGTGGCACCAACGAAGGACAACAAAACACAGTGAAGTGTGTGATGGAAAGAAAGCAGAGAAGCATTTAATGACCCAGGAGGAGGCATTTAGAAGTCAATAAAATTAGTAGCACTCACTAAATGCAGACACACACCCGGGAATGCTCTAGGGATGTCACTCCCTCCCTCCTTCCCGCTGGAAAACACCGTAGCCCAGAGCTTCAAGCAGATTTACCAGTGGTGGGGAAGCTTGGTAACACAGGACATGGCACTTTCCAGCAGGAACTGGCATAAATACCAGTAGCACTGGCACTTTGGGGCAGGAAGAGCACAGGCTGAGCCCCATGGACAGGACCTACCTCCTGGGGGAGCTCCAGCTTGGAGCGGTCCGTTCCCTCCTTGGACTGCAGGCCCATCAGGTAGGGCACGGGAGCATCCAAGAAGTGCAGGAGGGAAGCGGGGAGGATGGGGACGGACACGTGCTGCCCCTG